TATTTCAATATAATAGTTTCGGGTAGGTTTTTGCAATTGTAGGAGCGATGTTACCCCAAGGTTATCAAGGGGGATGTAGCTCAGTGGTAGAGCGCTCGCTTTGCATGTGAGAGGCCCCGGGTTCAATCCCCGGCATCTCCAAGTACATTTTTTTTATTTTCTTTTTTTTAAGTACTTATTTTTTAATGTTGCAAAATTATAAAATTTTGTAATTTTAGGTACATACATATTTACTTCTTACCAAATTCCACAGCAGTTTATTAGCCACAAAAAAAAATACATTTTGAGCTTTTCTTTATGACAATAAGGTATTTAATTGACCAATAACAAATGTATAAACTTTTTAATTGAATATTTAAAATTCATATATTTTTATAGGCATTTTTATGAGTTGGTAGCCTAATCCAGGCACTTAAAACGTGGTTAATTAGGCACACGCCAAAGTAAAATATGCAACGGCAATTGAATCTTGAAATCTTGAAATCAAAATCATCATGTTGCCATTGACAAGAACAAATAAATGGAAATCGTTAAGAGCAACCGGTTATCTTTGGGTTAAACTAAGCGTTAAGCGTAAGACAAATTTAGTTGCTGACTCGGTATATTAACTTTCGATCTCAACTACCTCCGAAACTCCAGGTGGACTTCGAGACTCGATCGTACTCTGTGCGTAATTAGCCGGCAGCATCGTCGATTTATCATCAAAATGTGGCGGCCATAAACAAATGCAGCTCAAGCTGCCGGCGCCAGTTACAAGTTTTAGATTCATTTATTTATCTTGTTTGTTTTTTTTCCTTTAATTTTGAAAAATTTTATTCGATTTTGTTGGCTTTACAGGCAGGCGGCACAGCAGGTGAAGATGTTTACCCAGTTACCTACAATTCGAATTTGGATTCCGATTCAATATTGCGCAAAATGTCCGACAGAAATCAATAAAGTATTTTCTGAGCTTGTGCAAGGCGGCGATGTCATTGGATTGGACATTTGTGCATAATGATGATTAGTCAATGGCGCGCAGAACAGAAATATATGGAGATACTCACTGACATCCACCACCCATGGGAGTTACCTAGTAGATAGTATGTGGGTGAGACGCCTCGCGAAATGACTTGATTATTGGTAAGGGGGCAGAGACGCATAAATAGTGTACACATGTACCTGTCCGACTGTCTGAATTAATGACAACAGCCCGAACGAGAAATAAAGAATTAGACATTTGCTTATGCAAGACAAAACACCTGTCAATAAATTATTTATAATATTTGGAAAATGTGATATTTAAGGTGCCAGCGGACTTTGATTTTTCAAAGGCGATCGTTCTTTGAGAATCGAGGCTTACGTGTTTGGTTTGGGGGCCCAGTTCGATGGCTTTTTATGCCATTCCAGAGCTGGTCAGGTCCGGCCAGGCCACGCCCCCGGCCAGACAGCCGCCCCCTTGGGGCCCAGCGACGTGTGCATAAATCTTGCACGCATATTTAACTTGATGATGTTAAATGGCTGTACTAAAAATACGAAATATGCATGCCATATGCAGGCAACAGTTTCATCCTGTCGCCCTGGTCTGCCCTGGTGTGTGTGAGTGTGTGTGGAATGTGCCACGGCAACACACACACACATACAGCTGCAACAACATGGCGACATTCATAAACTAAAACTGAGCCAAAGAGTCTCCTCGAAAGCCAAAAGGCTGAAATGCCAGTGGTCTTTTTTTTTGGCCTGGCTTTCGGGATGGCCAAAAGCCGAACGGCCAACAAAACGTTCTGTCCAAAAAGGAAACCGAGCTTACCAGCCACAATAACTACATTGAGAGAAATTATAGAGACTAACAAGCCGAAGACTGAGTGCTCTATGGATTTTTAAAAAGGAATATTCATTCATTCCCTTGTTAAAAAATGTATGAAAGTAACTAAAATCCATATACCCTCACTTAGAGCAGCGATTGGTTTTTCTCAGTCACCTTATAGGTTTTTTTTTGTATAATTTTTTTATTATTATTTCTTGGCATGTTTTCTTTTTGCTTAACGGCGGCAGATTTGAAAAGAATTTCTGCTCGCAAATGAAATTGTTTCCTGTTAAAAGCTAAAAAAGAAGAAGGCAAGAAAACAAACTACAAGCCGGGTTAAATGGGGACGGACTGGGCCGGCCACATGGCTGGGGATGTGGGATGTGGGATATGGATATGGATATGGACATGGATATCGACGGCACCTGCCGTCGCAACGATTGATGAAATTAAAAGGTATAAATAAAAATCTTTTTAATGGTCTGGGATTTGGAACTTAATTTTTTAATTAAACAAGCCTCCGCCAAGGAGGAGGGATCGTCGCAGGAGATGGGACATTTATGCAAAGCAGGAGCCACTTGGCCACTTGTGTGGCCCCTTCATGGTCTGCTGGAAATGCTGAAAAGGAGAAGCCGGAGTTGGAGGGGCAGTAGCCTGAGCTGCGTCCCATAATAACTGTGTTTGCCTTGGGCCATGGCCAACACTTTTACTGCCCCACGGAGTCGAGGGCCTAGACCAAGGCCCACTATAACATGTTAATCCCCCGACAACGATGTCAAATGTCAGCACATGTGATTTGTCATTAGCAGGCGGAGGACTTGGTCTTGGTTGGAATCCGAGGAGGACTCTGCGTCGGTGGTCGCCTCCTTTACATTGTAGCTTGGGCGAACATTTGTCACCCAGCTCGGGGACCACCTAACTTGTTCCCGACCGCAGTTTACAAGACACTCCGCCACAAGGAATGTGCAATTGATATTCCAGGAAAAGATGAAGACAAATTTTAACCCAATAAATAAATGAAGACACACTGTTTGAATTTATATATATTTTTTATTTATACGATTTCTCTGCACACATTCGTTAACCAACGTAAAGTATCAACTGAGCATTTATTTGAAGAATTGGAAAACTGAGAGGAAACTTAAAATAGAGATACAAAAATAAAAAGTTTGAATATTTTGTTGAGGCTTTTATTAAGTTTCTAGTGTGTTGTTATTACTTGGTTTTAATACAAAGAAATGCAATTAAATAGTCAGTTATATATTCATATATAAGATAGAGATTAATAGGGATAGAATTCGTTCGTTTTTTGTTTTTTTGGGGGGGACACAGAGGCAAGGTGAGTGAAGGTGAGGTTGAAGTTCGTAAGTTCGTAGCGAAAGAATCATTCTGCTTTCTATACATAAATAATTACATTTAATGCTCGGCTTAGAAATAAAACATATTACAATTTACAATGGTAGAAGTGTTAACTTAGGCATACGATTAATGCGTTAATTAAAAGTAGTAATAGTAGAAAGAAAAGTGCAAATGAATTTACAAATGACAAATGACAATCGGCCCTCGCTTCACTCCCATTCGATGCAAGTTGAAATAAATAGTTTCTGTCTGCTGGTTGGTAGAAGATCCTGTCAGGGTCCTGCTGCTCCTTCTCCTCCTCTTCCTCCTCCTTCTAATTCAACATAAGAATTTTGTTTATATTACAGCAACGCGCATATGTATAAGTACAGTAGTTCAATTCGAGTGTTTCTGTCTCTGTATCTGAATCTGTAGTATCTGTTTCTGTTTTCGGTTTCTGTTCGGATTTTGTTGTATTTATTGTTAGTTGAGTGCTGCTTCAATGCCTAGTTAAGTTAATAATTAATCGTTCAATTGTTAAATGGGTTTCTTGTCTTAAGTACACACTAATTAAATTTTCACCTAAGCATCTTGCTTTAACTTCTTGCTTTTTTGTTTGCATTAAATTTACATTCATACATATTTCTACATATAAACTTGACTCTTCAGTTATGTGTTTTCCCTTCAAATTGTTTTAATTTCGCATATTTGGTTTGTTAATATGTTTGAACTATTTATTTTTAATATTAATATAAATATATGAGAAACAATTTTTGCATATCTTTTTCATGTTCGTACACATATGCCTATATGTGCCTATATATCAATATATATATATCTGAATATATATAAACCTATATATATATTCGCATGTAGAAAAGCAGCAGTTGGTTTTCCTTGCTGTTATTTTGATTCGATTTTTAGTTTTAGGTTTTTATCAATCAATCAATAAATATAACGTTGTTTATTCAGTGTGAATTTTGGTGTTTTCTTGCAGTACATATTTTTATTTTTTTGGATTAGTTCTTTAAAATGTTCCATTATTCAAAATTTGTTTCCATTGCATATTTCTCACAAGCTATTTCCTAAAATCAATTTATAATGCTGACAATTTCAATAACTCTTTTTTTATTTTTCGCTTAAAAAATTCGGTTTATTCGGTTTTGAATGGAGTTTGTTCTCATCGTCTATATCGTTACCAATTTCGATCGCTTGTGCCTAGTAAAATTGTTTAATATTTAGTTTAAATCTTTCATTGTTTTTGGAAGTGTTTTGCTGTGCGAATTTGTTACCGTCATCGTTGCCGACACTTAGTTTCTGCTTCTTGCGTATGAATTTTAAAAAACTTCTTCATTCGATTCGTTTTGTTCTAATTTGTTTACTAATTGGTTTTTGGTTCGTTATAAAATTTTGAAAATATATGCATATATGTATATATAATATATATATATCGTTTTTTTTTTGTTCGCCTTTGTTTTTTATTAATTCTGATTGCTAATTAATTTAATTGATTTAGTAAATCAAACGTTTGCTACATTTTTTTTCAGTGCCATCGAAACGTTAATTTGCTTGCAACTGAACTGTCGCGCTTCATTTTAATTTCCATTTCAACAATTTTAGTTTTTCTTTTATCGTAATCGATTATCGTTATCGTTATCGCTATCGCTATCGCTTCGGCTTGTCGATTTGTTAGTTTCTATAGCACATACTCGTAAATAAAAACGTTATTGTCTTTTCATTTATAACTATGTAGCAGTTCTGAGAGAGTTTCGTTCCCTGCGGCCTCTCGAGTGCAGCTGGTGTAGTGTTCACTGTACTCGCTGTACTGGATGAAGTGCGGCCTGAGTAATCGTTATCGCAATCCATGGCATCCGCATCCGCATCCGCATCCGGTTTCCGCTTTCTGTAGTGTGCTTTTAGGCATAGTGCAAGTGCAAAAGTTCCGAGTCGAGTCGAGGTACTGAACAGTAAGCAACTCCTTGTGTATATCGAGTTTTATATGTTTATATATATATGTATCAGTTCATTACAAAATTTTGTTAATTATTTATTCATAAATTGTTTTGCTCTTCCTTTGATTTTATTTAAATTCATGTGAAAAACTGAGTATAGGTTTGTTTTTCTTCACGAGGCCAGTTTCTGTTTTCTATTTCTCATAGGAATATTTGATTTTATTTTCAATCTTTAAACAAACACATTGATTTTGAAATCGAAGCCACTTTGAATATAAAAACAGAATCAGGCCTGTATAGAGCAAGGATTCATAAGTAGATGTTTATCCTTTCTTACTACTACGCGAATCTCCTATGCTTTTGCATCTGCGACCTCTTGAGTGCCCTGTCGATTTTGTTCTTTCCAATCCTGATGAATTCCGTCAACACGGATGTGGTTGTGGTAGGAAGGTAGCTCGACAGGCTGACAGGCATCTGCCGGTTGATGTCCGTGCTGTTGCTGCTGCCATTGCCATTGCCCTCCAAATCGCCATCGTAAAGATCGGGATAGACACTGATGTTGTCCAGGTTGTCAATGTCGATGTCCCCAGCCTCATTCCGGACATAGGTCAGCTGGTGATAGGGCGTGGCCATCAGCTTCCGGGTGAACTTCCTCAGGTTCTTCTTGGTAGTGGTTGCCACCGTCACAGTTGATGTTGCTCCCGTGGTAGCTGTTGCCGTTGGCGAGGCCTCCGTCAGCGAGTTGTTCAGATCACTGTTGATATTCTTGTAGATGCTGAACAACGAGGATGGTTGCTTCTGTTGTTGCTGAGGTGTGGTTGCCAGTGTCTCGGCCGTGCTGGAGAGATGATGCACTCTGGTCGTAGCTGAAGGTTGCCGCGACACCAAGAACTTGTGTTGCCTCTGCGGGGGCTTCACCTCATTTTGGCCCTGATTTTGCGTGCTCCGTGTTGTTTCAGTCTGACTGGTTGTTGCTGTTGGTGTGGTAGTTGCTTTTGCTGTTGCTGCTGATGTTGTCATTGATGTTGCTGTTGCTGCCGGTGTGCTAATCCTTCTGGCCATCTCCTGCTGCAGCGGCGTCTGTTCAATTACCAGCTGCTGGCCCGTTGTCGAGGTAGTTGTGGCCGCTGTTGCTGCTATTGCTGCTATGGCTGATGTTGCTTTGGTTTCATATGTCGCTGTGGATTCCGCCTCCTCCTGCACTCCTGTATCCTCCACCATTTGGGGCTCGTAGTGCAACAGCAAATCGGTATCATTGCCGCTAAGCTCCGACGTGGTCTCCGATGCCTCGGCCTCCATTTTGGTGATCATGGTTGCCCAGAGATCGTAGTTGCTGCTGCTGCTAATACTGTCGTCGGATGTTGTTGTTGTGCTGCTGCTGCTGCTACTGCCGCTGTTGCTGCTGCTGCTAAAGCTATCGATTGTGGACCAAGTCGACCAGGGATCTAAACTCGTGCTGCTACTGCTGCTGACGTTGTAGGGATCCAGATCCTCGAATCCTGTGCTGCTGCCAATGCTGCTGCTGTAGAAGGAGTCGTCTGTATAGGCAGTTGTTGCAGTTGCTGCTGGGGCCAACTGTTGCTGTTGCTGTCGCTGCAACTTTGGCTGCCTCGACTTGCCCTTTCTTCGTCTGCCCTTGCGCTTGCTGCTTAATGTTGCTGCTGTGGTTGCTGTTGCCGGGGATGTTGCAACTGGGGTAGTTGCAGTTGCTGGTTTCGTTGGACTAGCTGTAACTCGTTGTTGCTGCTGCTGCTGGTGTTGCTGTTGCTTCTGTTGCTTGCGCCGCTTCTGCTTCCTCTCATGTTGCTGTCGTCGCGCCAGCAGCGATGGATCATTATGGTGATGTCGCACCTGATGTTGGTGTTGCTGCTGCTGCTGCTGTTGCTTCGATTGTTGCTTTTTGTTAGTTCTACTTAAACTATTACTACTATTATTATTAAGAATAACGTTATTATTATTATGGCCATGATGCTCCTGTTGCTGTTGCAACTTTTGATTTTGGTTATTCGATTTGTGGCGATTGTTTTTGTTGTTACGCGGGGGCTTCCGACTCTTACTGTTGCTGTTGCTGCTACCATTGCTGTTGCTATTGCTGTTGCCGCTGTTGCCATTGCTATTCAAATGCCTGTGCTGGCGGTAGAAGGTCTCGACATCGATCTTATTGAAATGGTAGCAGGCATCCTTGACGCTCATCTTTGGACCCACAGGCTTACCTCCGTGCGTGAACCCGACTCGTCGCTCCGAATCGACTATGGAACGGAACACGAAATAACCGTGATGGATGGTCTCGTTGAAGTAGCAGGTATCGCGCAGCTTCGTCTGCAAGTAGATGAGGGAAAAGTGTTATTAACAAGGGTCTCCAACTTCCGTACACAATGCATGCAATTTATGAGCGGCATTTCCGCCCAAATATGTAGATATGTGGATACATAAAGTGATAGGCTCATACTACAATATCTCTGATATGAGTATCGGCCACGATGACAGCGACATCATCGGGCGAGGAGTGAACGTTTATTCTGTCTTTTGTTTATTTATAAAACACTTGAAATCTCGACAGCGACAACCAAATGAAACGCGGCTTTTGACTTGGATCTCGGCATACCCTGGCTATCTTAATATTGTGATGGGTATTATGGGCTCTCAGAGTGAGTTGGAATTTCTAAAAGCAACAGGGCACTAACCTATTCGATGCTGGAAATCTTAATTAAGTATTCTTTGGATTGAGCGCGTGTTGTTGCCGTTTTGACCATTTTTGCTATCGGCATTGCGATCTGAACGATCAGATGGATTGGTGCGATTGGGCCTTAAAGTGTTGCAAACGACGCAGATGGAACATTTCCCAAGCAATTAAGTCTTGTGCCATATTTAGCGATGGTTCCTTGTTTACACTCGCAATATTTATAGCACTTAATTGCTATTTTTAAGAAGCCATTCTCACCATTGGTCAAGTGTCTCACCGAGCAAATCACGTTTGATCTATTTTCGGAGGGAGTTGGCATCAAGTGAAATGTGAATCAGATGCCCATTGACCTCCACTAGTGTAGTGTATAGTAAACCCCACACAATAACCTTCCCGGCAAAAAAATGCCGCATAAGATATCGCCTAATGCAATATAAATCACAACGTATGTATATTTGCACAATAATTCAGCATGGATTTGCGGTCTAAATCGAAAGCCACGACAATAGAACGACAACAAGTGCAGGTTCTGACCTTAGGAGCTTAGTATTGTTTGCCGTTCGACTCGAGTGCGGTTATAGCTAACTAACTGTATTGTGAGTGGGGAAAGGACATTGAAATTTTTTTGCCATTACCACATGAAATCGACAATTAAGTGCCGTGTCATCGGGCTGATTGATTAGACATATCTGTTTATCATCTACGAGTTGTTTGTCTAGTCAATGATTTTTATGATGGCAAATCATGAGTGGCGCACTTCAGAAAATTGGCATTGGAACTGCCCACAAAAGTGTTACAATGTCTCAAAAATATAACTTCATCCCGGCCTAAAATCAAAAAAAAAAAATCTAAAAACAGTTGCAATTCATTGCTTCATGCGATATCACGCATACGCCGCGTACCCATTTTGTGCCACATTCTAGTGAGTTCGAGTTGGAGTAATTGCATATTAAATTGTTCGCATTTTCGGATTACAAACACATAATGTAATAAATATTTTGTTTAGTTCGTCGACAGATTTGGTGCAACTGAAACCGGTTTTTGGCCATTATGAGCATTGTTGCTTACACACACACTTTTTTTATGATCCACGGCGCCTGCAATTTGGCCAAGTTGCTACAGTATTGTTATTGTCGTATAAACGATCGTTTGCATAAAACCATTATGTGGAACATGCCATAAATTATAGTGTTTGTACAGTTAGTTTGCATAAAAACAAATCGAGGAGAAACGGAAAATACTGAACACTGAATACTGAATACTATAACCGACGCGTCGGTCGGCTTTGTCAAGTACAAATGCAATGCAATCAAAATCGCTGCACCGGGCCTTGACTATATCAGCATCAACATTGTGTATATATATGTATATACTTTTAGAACAAATATTGTCTAGCATATAATTATGGCTATTGCCAGCAATTTGCTTGCACAACAGGCCATAAACTTTATCAACGCCAGGGAATTCTCTTTCATCTTGGCGAGCATTCCAGTGATAGCTTTTATCTATTTCGGGGATTTACTTCAAAAGTGAATCATATTCTTCGAAATTCCACAACTAAAAATTTTCAATTTGATTCTTAAATTATAATTTAAGGTACTCACCATGCCAACTAATCTCCAATTGTCGTTGAAGCACAAATACCTTTGCGTCTCTTTTGCGTACAGTGCTAGTTTGAATGTGAACTCTTGGTTCAGATAGTCCGGGAAGCCGAGTATCGTTATATTTTCTGAAGAAGAAACACCAAAACCAAAATCAAAAACAAGAAAATAATTTCATTAGTAATCAGCTTGGCGAGTGGTTTTAATTGATGTAAATATTTGGCGGGCAAAAACATTTTTAATTAATGGCAAACACGGCTCTCTTCGTCAAAGTGATTAAGCGTGCCAAAACGGAAGGTTTCGTCTGATACGTGTGGGGGAGGGGATCATCAGATCATCAATATAAAGACTAAGCCCCGTCTATACCAGATTGGAACTTTGACCTTAGCCGAGACACGTGTCCAGGCGGATATTGTTAATGGATGTTGGGTAACAATGGGTATTTGTCAAATATTTAGTTCAAATAAGATTTCAAAAGCAGAGATTGGGCTTTATTGGCTTATAAGTATTAAATGGATAGTTGATTGATTTATAAATCCATAAAGGTATTTCGTTCAAGGACCGTTTATAAATTGGCAAAGATGTGGTAATCCGAAGGGACTTTATATGAAAATCCGGATTTTACGAGGGGTGCCCCCAAAAAAAAAATGTGAAAAATATCGATCGAAAATTTTGCTTAGAGAATTTGATAAAGAATGATGGGGAAATGAACTACAAATCGAACAAGGTATTTCTTTTAAGGATCGGATACATATTGGGAAAGATATGGCCATCTGAAGGGACTATACATATATGAAAATCCGGATTTTACGAGGGGTGCCCCCAAAAAAATTTGAAAAATATCGATCGAAAATTTTGTTTTGAGATTTTGATGTAGAATGATAGAGAAATAAACTACAAATCGATCAAGGAATTTATTTTAAGGATCTTATAAATATTGGAAAATATATGGACATCTGAAGCGACAATATATGAAAATCAGGATTTTAGAAGAGGTACCCCTATAGAGGAGAGGAAAAGGATATGTGCCTTAAATGAAGAATCTTGTCTTAATGCTATTTTGGTACCCAAAACTCCAAATGGTTTCGAGGAAATAGTACATAAGTATTGCATAGTCTTTTAGATTTCGTAATAGTTTTGTTCCATTTGTTTGCTATAATTTCAATCCAATTCGAAAACAGTTTCCCAAAATAGGCGGGAAATGCATTAAACGTGGAAAAGTCAAGTAGCTAAGGTGCGCATGCTCTCTCCGCTAATTATAAACTAACAATGTAGCCGCAGATGTATCCGTATCTGTCCGGGCATCTGCCCGTGCATCTTGGTATCTGTAGCTGTAGCTGTTTGCCCTGGCCTCGACAGGCTATTGAACTTCACCGGAGGGAGGATGGGTCTAAGGGAGCCAAGGAGGGCCTGCCTCCCTGGCCACAAAAGTCACTAATAAGTAAAGCACTTGAAAAGCCAAAGAAAAAGGCAACACGAGGAGAAAAGCCACTCGAGTTAGATTGATAGGTGACTGGGTTCAGCCGCCGGTCTCAGTCAGTCATCGTCGTCTGCCATTCAGGCATTCTGGCAGTCTGTCCGTCTGGCATTCTGTCATTTTTGCCGTTCTGCCAGTAATTAAATTTATGCACAGAATTTCTTGGCAAAAAACCCGCTGGCCTGAAGCTCTGGGATATGCAACTCTTGGCTCTCATATTTCATAAGCCGAGCCAAGCTGAGGGCTTGAGTGACTTTGTGCTTCACACCTTTGGCCGCCGGTGGCAGTGCCACTTGTGCCTTTTGTGCCTCTTGGCCCCAGGGAGCTGTTGCCTTTTGTTGTTCTTGTTAATGTTATTGTTGTGATTCACGGCCTGCCTGCCCTGTTCTAGCCTGGCTTATTGATTTCATTAGTTTGGTGACACAAACACAAAGCGGAGTGGAGCACCCTTTTGCCAGAAGGCACTTGTGAGTTAGCACTCGATACGACACTGAGGGAAAAGTCTAATATTAATGGTGTAAAGAATTTTAGAACCATATTTTATAAGAAAAATTACATGGCAGTGCATCAGTTTCATTCTGACTCTACCCCCTTTTAGAAATGTTAGGGATCCCTTCTTTATTTTTCAATAGAGCAGGAAGTGATAGACCCTCTTGATCAGAAACGGGAACATGGTTGCGGTTTATGTGGCCAACTTATACCATTAGATTACCCACAATTCGATATCATTGAACTCTGAACGACTTTGACATTGACTCATCCTCATTAGCCCCCATCCGGGAATCTCCGAAACTGGAAAAGCTAAATGTTTATTTTTAAGTGCTTAGCGAAGAAAAACTTTTCACGATCCACCAAAATCAAAGCTCACCAGACAACCAGAAAAACAAAAAGCCATCAAATGCATTTTAGGCATTGGAATTTTTATGGGCTTTGATCTTTTTGGATATTTTAGAGATCTTCGGCTATGGGTTTGTTTTTCACTCAATAAAAAGCCACGATTGGGTCACATTTTTGCCGCAAGTTATTAAGATTTTAACAGTCGAATCCCCGTCTTCTGCCGAGTTTCTAATTAAGTTATTAGTCATGGTGAGTGGAATTTTCGTCGCGTCTCGTTTCGTTTCATTTCATTTGGTTTCGAATGGGCGTTTGAACGGAAAAATGCATCAGCATAAATATGGCAAAAGCGATGCATTTTGGGGCTTGGATGCTATAGATTCTGATCGATGTGAGGGCGTGATTTGTATCAAAAATAAAGCTCTGAATATAGAATTTCAACTGGACTAGTTGCTAGTGCTGTGTTTTCAATTTATTGACTATAGTATTTATGACTGCAATCGATCGATTGTTATCCAAATGCCATAATTTAATTGTCAATAACTGATGACTGGGACGTCATAGTATTTGCGTCATTTGCTTGCAAAAATCCATAAACTTTCGATAAGATTGGACACGGCCAGACACATTCTTAAAACAAGAAATAATTTCATCATTAAAGTTTTAAATTCTTTTTCCCCGTATTTATAAATACCTCTCTGATTATGGGTCATCCAATGCGAGACCTCCAGCTGGGCACAGCTTTATTTTGTGGGTCGTAAAAACACAAACCTTGATATATAATGTCAAAACTCTGAAAATGTAACAAATGAAACACTCAGAGGGTAGCCCAGAAACAAGCTCATCAACACCGATGCCAAAAAAGGGCAGCATAATGCTGAGAAGATCCGGAAAACAAAGAACCCCGGGCTACAAACAACCAATAAAACAAACAAACACAACAACGAATCTTTAATCAAATATGCAAGCAATGAGCTTCATCAACATAAAATTAAAAAATCATAAAATGCTAAACTGCACAGCATGAACAAAATTTTAAATCGAAAAACCGAATCAAAATAAAACCAAAATGCGGTGTTGGGGCGTCAAAATGCCTCGTAATTGCGGCACATGTACGAGATACAAAAACGAATATATAAAAAAAAGGTAAAACAAAAAATCTGAAAAAGATTTTACGATCTTTTGGCCGAGACCCCATCAGTTTGTCATTCCATCAGCATGATCTTGGCCACCATCTTTCCGATCAGAGTTATGAAAAATAGCCAATACGATCGGTGGGCGTTGCTATAGCCCTGGCCTGGCCAGTTGATAAGCATAAATCGTGGCTTATCGATCTCTATGATAATCAAGAGCCATTCCCCTGGCATGTTTATCGGGTTTAAGCATATTTGATTTTACTTTCGAGATTCTACTTTCACTCGTTTGGGAGTGGGCCTGGGAGATTTATGCGAAAGGGAATCTCATGCCGGCTTATGATTTAAGGAGAAAAAGCTAAAGTATATTTAAACAACAGAGAGCTTTAAGAATTATACAATATTAAATACGAGTTCTCTTCCTATAGATTGTTTTCTAACTTGACTTAAAGTAACTATTTTTGTTTGCTTATTAAATCTCGGAATATTTTCCCAAATGTTATCCTTGACTTTTGAGCTCAACTGCCACCCAGAGCATTGCCCTGCCGGTTCATACCAATAGTTCCAAGAATGTCGTCTGAGGCATTCACTTCGATGGCTGCTTTCCCGGAACTTTTACGCTGACGACGACTGCCAAGGGTCCCGGGGGCCGAGGCCGAGACCCTTCTCTGGACTCTGGAGCCCGTCTGGGCAAAAGCGTCTTAGATTACACTGGGTACGAGAGTAATTGCATTCTGCAGTTTGCATTTTGCATATGCGGCAACAACGTTAACGTCAACAAACAAACTGCGATTTGTCACATGCTGCAACTAGTCACCATCACCATCACCATCGCCATTGCCCATCGCCATCATCGGTATTGGCATCGTCATCGGTATCGGCGGTGGAATCGTCGTACTAGTTGTAGCCACTACTCTGCCCAGTTATTGACGTTTTTGTCACGTTTCCTGGAAGAAACCGTTTTATTTGCTCGCCCGGTGCCGGGGCTGGCATTTTCGGTTTGTTTTGTAAGCCGAGACCGGGAAAACAAACTTCAACTTGAAGCCATTGCACTGACTGGCCGTCAGTCGGGCACTCCAACCCAACCGCGGTCTGGCGGTCATTTATCAGTTGTTTTTTTTTTTTTTGGACCTCTCAGCCTCTCTGGCTAGTGGTGAGTTTGAAACTCGGCCCATATCTTTCCAAACACCACCAAGTTGAACTGCACTAATGCTAATTGCATTGGCACGCCCTGCAGACCAGACCAGACCAGAGACTACCACTACGAGTGCCACGAAATTAGCGCCATTTAATGTGGAGCGTACTCAAGTTTTACGCACGATTCTTTCACTGACGCCACTCGAATTGTGGTGCCCCCAGGAATTTGTTGCACCACCAGAAGGGCGAAGAGGGCATAGTGTCAATGAGTTAATTAGCGCACGATTTGTCGCCCCCACAGGCACAGAGAGAAATGTTTCTAAATATAATTTCATTGAAGGGACTTAAGTTCAAACTTTAAAGATACTTTTCTCAGTGCTTGGATAGACAGTCTCTGGGGCCCTTTATGTGGGTGGCTTTCCTCGTGAAATAGAATCTCTTCTTTTATTGGAGTCAGCCCATCGATCCCATTTTCCCCATTTCTGGGTCAAAATTTTTATTTGCTTATAAATTATCTGTAGCACTGATTGAATTTTGTGGTCTACCC